ATACCTACTTTATTGTGAGTTTTTAGCATGAAGGGCTGCTGAATTTTGTCAAAGGCCTTTTCTGCATCTATTGAGATAATCATTTGGTTTTTGTTTTTGGTTCTGTTTACATGATGGATTATATTTACTGATTTGCGTACGTTGATCCAGCCTTGCTGCTCAGGGGGTTAGGGACCCATTTTAGGCGGCAGTCGGTCCATTCTCAGATCTCAAACTCCGTGCTGGGAGAACCACTACTCTCTTCAAAGCTGTCAGACAGGGATGTTGACGTCTGCAGAAGTTTCTGCTACCTTTTGTTCAGCTATGCCCTATTCCCAGAGGTGGAGCCTACAGAGACAGGCAGGCCTCCTTGAACTGTGGTGGGTTCCACCCAGTTCAAGCTTCCTGGCTGCTTTGTTTACCTACTCAAGCCTCAATGCTGAGAGATTTTGTAAACACCAAGCCTGCCTTATAAGAGGTCCTGAAGGAAGCACTAAATACGGAAAGGAAAAAACCTGTACCAGCCACTGCAAAATAATACCAAATTGTAAAGATTACTGACACTATGAAGGGACTGCATCAACTAGTGGGCAAAATAACAAGCTAGCATCATAATGACAGGATCAAATTCATACATAAAAATACTAACCTTAAATGTAAATGGACTAAGTGCCCCAATTAATAGACACAGCCTGGTAAACTGGATAAAGAGTCAAGACCCATTGGGGTGCTATATTCAGGAGACCCATCTTACAGACAGAGACACACATAGGCTCAAAATAAAGGGATGGAGGAATATTTACCAAGCAAATGGAAAGCAAAAAAAAAAGCAGGGGTTGCAATCCTAGTATCTGATAAAAGAGACTTTAAACCAACAAAGATCAAAAAAGACAATCACATTACACAATGGTAAAGGGATCAATGCAACAAGAAGAGCTATCTATCCTAAATATATATGCACCCAATACAGGAGCATCCAGATTCATAAAGCAAGCTGTTCTTAGGAACCTAAAAAGAGAATTAGACTCCACACAATAATAGTGGGAGACTGTAACACCCCACTGACAATATTAGACAGATCAATGAGACAGAAAACTAAGAAGGATATTTAGGACTTGAACTCAACTGTGGACCAAGCAGACCTAACAGACATCTACAGAACTCTCCACCTCAAAGCAACAGAATGTACAGTCTTCTCAGAACCACACTGCACTCATTCTAAAATTGACCACATAAATGGAAATAAAGCACTCCTCAGCAAATGCAAAAGAACAGAAATCATAACAAACAGTCTCTCAGACCACAGTGTAACCAAACTAGAACTCAAGATTAAGAAACTCACTCAAAACTGCACAACAACATGGAAACTGTACAACCTGTTCCTGAATACTACTGGGTAAATAACGAAATTAATGCAGAAATAAATAAGCTCCTCGAAATCCATGAGGACAAAGACACAAGGTACCAGAATCTCAGGGACACAGCTAAAGCAGTGTTTAGAGGGAAATTTATAGCACTAAATGTGCACAAGAGAAAGCAGGAAAGATCTAAAATTGATACTCTAACAGGACAATTAAAAGAACTAGAGAAGCAAAAGCAAACAAATTCAAAAGTTAGCAGAAGACAAGAAATAACTAAGATCAGAACTGAAGGAGATAGAGACATGAAAAACCCTTCAAAAATCAATGAATCCAGGAGCTGGTTTTTTGAAAAGATCAACAAAATAGACCGCTAACTAGACTAGTAAAGAAGAAAAGAGAGAAGAATCAAACAGACACAATAAAAAATGATAAAGGAGATATCAACACTGATCCCACAGAGATACACACTACCATCAGAGAAAACTATAAACCCTTCTATGTAAATAAACCAGAAAATCTAGGATAAACTCATGGACACATACACCCTCCCAAGACTAAACCAGGAAGAAGCTGAATCCCTGAATAGACCAAAAAGTTCTGAAATTGAGGCAGTAATAGCCTACCAACCAAAAAGAGCCCAGGACAAGACAGATTCACCGCCAAATTCTACCAGAAGTACAAAGAGGAACTCGTATCATTCCTTCTGAAACTATTCCAAACAACAGAAAAAGAAGGACTGCTCCCTAACTCATTTTATGAGGCTAGCATCATCTTGATACCAAAACCTGGCAGAGACACAACAAAAAAAGAAAATTTCACACCAATATCCCTATGAACATTGATGCAAAAATCCTCAATAAAATACTGGCAATCCGAATCCAGCAGCACATCAAAAAGCTTATCCACCATGTTCAAGTCAGCTTCATCACTGGGATGCAAGGCTGGTTCAAGATATGCAAATCAATAAACATAATCCATCACAAAACAGAACAATGACAAAAACCACATGAATATCTCAATAGGTGCAGAAAAGGCCTTCGATAAAATTCAACAGCCCTTCATGCTAAAAGCTCTCAATAAACTAGGTATTGATGGAACGAACGTATCTCAAAATAATAAGAGTTATTTATGACAAACCCAAAGCCAGTATCGTACTGAATGGGCAAAAGCTGGAAGCATTCCCTTTGAAAACTGGCACAAGACAAGGATGCCATCTCTCACCACTCCTATTCAACATAGTATTGGAAGTTCTGGCCAGGACAATCTGACAGGAGAAAGAAATAAAGGATATTCAAATAGAAACAGAGGAAGTCAAATTGTCTCTGGTTGCAGATGACATGATTGTATATTTAGAAAACCCCATTGTCTCAGCCCAAAATCTCCTTAAGCTGATAAACAACTTCAGCAAAGTCTCAGGATACGAAATCAATGTGCAAAAATCACAAGCATTCCTATACACCAACAATAGACAAACAGGGAGCCAAATCATGAGTGAACTCCCATTCACAATTGCTACAAAGAGAATAAAATACCTAGGAATACAACTTACAAGGGATATGAAGAACCTCTTCAGGTAGAACTACAAACCGCTGCTCAAGGAAATAAGAGAGGACACAAACAAATGGAAAAATATTCCATGTTCATGGATAGGAAGAATCAATATCATGAAAGTGGCCATACTGCCCAAAGTAATTTGTAGATTCAATGCTATCCCTATCAAGCCACCATTGACTTTCTTCAAAGAATTATAAAATCTACTTTAAACTTAATATGGAACCAAAAAAGAGCCTGTATAACCAAGAAAATCCTAAGCCAAAAGAACAAAGCTGGAGGCAACATGCTACCTGACTTCAAACTATGCTACAACGCTACAGTAACCAAAATAGCAAGGTACTGGTACCAAAACAGATATATAGACCAATGGAACAGAACAGAGGCCTCAGAAGTAACATCACACATCTACAACCATCTGATCTTTGACAAACCAGACAAAAACAAGCAATGGGGGAAAGGATTCCCTATCTAATAAACAGTGTTGGGAAAACTGGCTAGCCATATGCAGAAAACGAAAACTGGACCCCTTCCTTACACCTTATACAAAAATTAACTCAAGATGGATTAAAGACTTAAACATAGGACCTAAAACCATAAAAACCCTACAAGAAAACCTAGGCAGTACCATTCAGGGCATAGGCATGGGCAAAGACTTCATGACTTAAAAACCAAAAGCAATGGCAACAAAAGCCAAAATTGACTAATGGGATCTAATTAAATTAAAGAGTTTCTGCACAGCAAGAGAAACTATCATCAGTGTAAACAGGGAACCTACAGAATGGGAGAAAATTTTTGCAATCTACTCATCTGACAAAGGGCTAATATCCACAATCTACAAGGAACTTACAAAAATTTACAAGAAAAAAAAACCCCATCAGAAAGTGGGTGAAGGATATGAACAGACACTTCTCAAAAGAAGACATTTATGCAGCCAACAAACATATGAAAAAAAGTTCATCATCACTGGTCATTAGAGAAATGCAAATCAAAACCACAATGAGATACCATCTCATGCCAGTTAGAATGGTGATCATTAAAAAGTCAGGAAACAACAGATGCTCGAGAGGATGTGGAGAAATAAGAATGCTTTTACACTTTTGGTGGGAGAGTAAATTAGTTAAACCATTGTGGAAGACAGTGTGGCAATTCTTCAAGGATCTAGAACCAGAAATACCATTTGACCCAGCAATCCCATTACTGGGTATATTCCCAAAGGATTATAAATCATTCTGTTATAAAGACATGTGCACATGTATGTTTACTGCAGCACTGTTCACAATAGCAAAGACTTGGAACCAACCCAAATGTCCATCACTGACAGACTTGATAAAGAAAATGTGGCACATGTATACCATGGAATACTATGCAGTCTTAAAAAAGGATGAGTTCATGTCCTTTGCAGAGACATGGATGAAACTGGAAACCATCCTTCTCAGCAAACTTACACAGGAACAGAAAACCAAACACCATATTTTCTCACTCATAAGTTGGCACTGAATAATAAGAACACATGGACACAGGGAGGGAAGCATCACACACTGGGGCCTGTTGTGGGGTGGTGGGCAAGGGATAGCATTAGGAGAAATATCTAATGTAGATGATGGATTGACGGGTGCAGCAAACCACCATGGCACATGTATACCTATGTAACAAACCTGCACCAGAACTAAAGTATAATAAAGAATATAACAATAATAATACCTTCACAGCAAAAAAATAAATAAAAGCATATGTATTTTTTAACATCTGTGATGGGGGATGTGGCCTGCCTTCCCACTAAGACTCTCACAGTGGCAAATTCCAGAAAGGACAGGGATTCAAATGCTGCACAGCTAAAAAGAGACAAACATGTAGTACATTAAATGATTTTAAATGGACAGAAACATTAATTTGTAATGTATCCAGAAGTTTTTAAAAAGTTGTTTCACTATGAAGTGGGGAAACATTGGTATAATAGACTATGGGAATTGTTCTTCTTTTCTGCCTAATGTTCCCACCCCCCTTTCTTCAGAATCCTTTGGGAAATATCTCCTCTATGCATTAGTGCTGGGGCTGCTAATCATAGGAGCATGAACACAGAACCTGAAATTGAGATATGGACATCGGTAGAGAGTTATTTGGTTTATTTCCTCCATTGCGATTGCTTAACTGGGAGATTTGAGTTTGTCTGGCAGCCATTTGTCTGCCACTAGGAGAGACTCTAGAAGAATAAAGCAATGCAAACAAAGAGTTGGAGAGACAGTCTTGACAGCAGTATTTGAGTTTCCAGATGCACTCTTGCCTTAAGATGCACTCTTGCACTTTCCAATTACATGAACCAATAAATCCTTTTTGGAGGAGTTGAATTTCGGTCACTTGCAACCAAGTAGTCTGACTTTATGCAATGCATAAGATCTAGGAGATAATAAGGGCAGTATCATTTTTTGAGTCCCACAGTTACAAATATTTGAAGAAATACAGTTCAAGATAAGAGTGGGATAGGAAAGATATTTGAACAACAATTCATAATGTAGATTATTTTTAAAAGCTAAGACAATGCAACCTCTCTTAGAATCAAAGGAACAATGCTTTGAGAAGACAGCTGTGAAGTTAACAATTCCTTGAGAATATAAAAAACATCAAAAGCATGAGTAAAAGACATAGCTGTAAACTATACCACAGGAAATTCATGTTTAAGAATTTCCTTTACCACTAAAGAACTTATCCATGTAACAAAACTACCTTTACCCCCAAAACTATTGAAATAAATTTTTTAAATTAAAAAATATAGGAATTTCCTAATAGAGAAGAAATAATTGAATGTTTCATTATTTTTTAAAAGATTAGAATCTAGCCTGCTTAATACAAAGTCTAAATAATACTGTAATAAAAATCAAAGGATCCATTCTAGACAGATCTCTCACTACATATCCATATATCTTAATTTATCTGAACCTGTGGTGTCTTACCTCTAAAGCAAGTGTGGTGGTTAATACTGTCAACTTAATTGGATTGAAGGATGCAAAGTATTGTTCTTGGGTGTTTCCAGGAGGGTGTTGCCAAAGGAGATTAACATTTGAATCAGTGGACTGGGAGAGGTAGACTCACCCTCAATCTGGATGGCCACCATCTAATAAGCTGCCAGTGTGGCTAGACTGGTGGAGTCTTCCTGCCTTTGTCTCTCTCCTGTGCTGGATGCTTCCTGCCCTCAAACATTGGACTCCAAGTTCTTCAGCTTTTGGACTCTTAGACTTACACCTTTGGCCACAGACTGAAGACTGCACTGTCGGCTTCCCTACTTTTGAGGTTTTGGGACTTGGACTGGCTTCCTTGCCCCTCAGCTTGCAGATGGCCTATTGTGGGATTTCACCTTGTGATCTTGTGAGTCAATACTCCTTAATAAACTCTGCTTTATATATACATCTATCCTATTAGTCCTGGCCCTCTAGAGAACTCTAATATAGCAAGCATCTCTTTCACCTCTAAAATTGTGACAACATTCAAAGTTCATTTCAGTCTAACAATACATTTTCTACTACCACCTATAGTCATGAGCTTAGACAAAAAAAGGCAGGAGAAATACTTGCGCAAAACATTTCAAATCACGCATTTCAGTTTAACACAGAATATAATTTGGTGATATTTATCTTCGGAATTCTTTTTGAAACTGCTTTATGCATTTCTTTTTTTTTCATTGTACTATTATTATACTCTTACTCTATAAATTGTCCCCTTTTCAACTTCTGATACATATATAGAAATCCATCCACAGCTTCTGAACTACTTTAAAAATTTTTTATTATTATAGCAAAATACACTAAACATAAAATCTACCATTTTAACCTTTATTTTTCAAATTGTTGTAAAATACACATAAAATTTACCATCTTAACTATTTTTAAGTGCACAGTTTAGTGGCATTTAGTACATTCACATTGATATGCAACCATCACTATTACCCATCTCCAGGCCTCTTTTTATCTTGCAAAACTGAGATTCTGTACCCATCAAACAATAACTCCCCATCCTTCCTCCCCCAAGTCCCTGGAAACCACCATTTTAATTTCCGTCTTTATGTATTTGACTACTCTAGATACATCATATAAGTGTAATCATACAATATTTGTACAATAATTTTGTGAATACCTTATTTCACTTAGAATAATGTTGTCAAGGTTCATCCAGGGCTGAGCACAGTGGCTCATGCCTATAACACCAGGCCTTTGGAAAGCTGTGGTGGGAGGACTGCTTGAGCCCAGGAGGTTGAGGCTGCAGTGAGCATCCCACCATTGCACTCCAGCCTGGACAACAGAGCAAGACTCTGTCTCAAAAAAAAAAAAACAAAAAAAAAAACATGTTTATCATCGATGTTGCAACACGTGTCAGAACTTCCTTCCTTATTAAGGCTAAATAATATTCCATTGTATGTATATACATTTTGCATATCCATTCACCTGTTAATGAATACTTGGTTTACTTCTGCCTCTTGGCTATTGTGAATAATGCTGCTATGAACATGGGTATATGAGTATCTATTAGAGTTCCTGCTTTTAATTCTTTTGGATATCTTAGAAGTGGAACTGCTGGATCATACGGTAATTTTATGTTTAACTTTTTGAGAAGCCATCATATTGTTTTCCACAGCAGCTACACCACTTTACATTCTCATCAGCAATGCATAAAGGTTGTATGCCATTCGGGACTTTTATACATTAAAATATTTTATTAACCATTGTTAAATAGTACATGATATTTCAAAAACACAATGAGATGATCATCTGGAACACCTCCATGCAAATACAACTATCATTTTGTAAAATTCCAAGTTTTGTCATTTGTATATTTTCATAGAATTTTAATAGTTTATAAAATTTTGATTTTCTTCATATTATGTATCTAAGCATTTTCCATGGCATTACAAAGCCATTATCATTATCATCCTAATGTTTATGTTATAGTCAACCAAGGGGAAATACTATAATTTTCTTAATCATTGAACTATAGAACATTCAAGTTGCTTCCAATTTTCTAATATTAGAAACATGCAATACATATGTACATAAATCTTTACTTCTTTTGAATCCTTTGCACAGAAAAGTATTAATCAGTTAAAAGTATGCACATTTTTAGAGTTGCTGATAAATATGAATACATTCATTTTCAAAGTGATCATATAGATGTGTATTACTTCAGCACTCTCACCAGTGGGGCCCATAACAAGAGGTACTGGTACTCTTTCATCACTAGTCCTCTAACAAATTGTCTATCACCTAGTAAACACACAATAAATGTTCACTAATTGAGTTCATGAGTGAATAAATGAGAATGCCATGTTACTGAATCCTCACTATCACTGAATCTTATTTTGTTTTCTAGTTTAAGACAGCTGGTACATTTTAGCTATTTTAAAACTATTTAAAATAATTAAAAACTTGGTCTTTGAATCAGAAGTCCATAAGAAATGAATCTCCTTGCCAGAATAAAGGTCTTTCTTGGTATTTAAACATTTTTCTATACATTGCCAAGTGTAATGTAATTTCATTCCATTATAATTTTTCTTTCTAAGCATAAAAGCATTATTATGGGAGCACTTTTCTAACTTGCCAGGTTTTGCCATATCAGGTAACTGTAACCTCTATTTAGCATTTGGCATAAGAAAATGAAATTGTATCAACCATACACAACTCATCATAACTGAAATGCAATTGGCTCTAAATTTTTCTTATTTTGTTCGTTTCTTTTTATTGTGAATTTCCTACCCATTAAGCTGAAAGCTCTTTGAAGTTAAATCTTTCTTTTTCATCTCTATCTGCCAAGTTGATTAGCACAAAATTTGGCACATAGTAGGCATCAATAAATATTTCAGGCATATTTATTATGCTCTATGGCTGATTTTTGTTTGATCTAATTGAGAATAATTTTCAAGAATCATGATAAAAATAAATTATATATGCATTAAATACATATTACAAGGATTTCTTTATGTTAAGGTAGTAGAATAAAATTAGGAGATAAAAAGGAAGCCTTAAACTATCCTGGTAGTCAATGTAGTATTCAATTCTTTACAGATTGTAAATTATAATGGTAATGGTACTAGAATTATCAAATTTTTCCCAAAGCAATCTTCAAGGCTAATCAACATAGACAATCACTCTTTTCATTTCTATAGCAATAAGAAAATTTTAAGAAATATCTTTTGATTGGAGTTGTCTTGAAAATTGCTTAGTTGGAGGCCTTATTTTAAAATGCAACAAGCCTGAAATATTAAATGTAATTTGCCATGCAGCCTAGAGAAAGAATGAAGCATTTGGTACATTTTTCCTAATTGTTTCTGATTGCTGCCTGGGTAGCTCCAGCACTTCATGTTCAAAATCACCTTTGAGGGCTTCGACATCTTTGACTACTACTTTTAATCAAAAAGAGGCAAAGTATAAAATAATTTGACTATTACATGGCAGAAATCCTCATAATAACTGGCTTTAACATTTTTACTTAACTGACCTTAAAGAAAGAGCCCTCAGAAGGTAAACTGTTGGTACTTAATGAATACTGATTAAGGTGACACATTACCTGATGCTAATATTCACAGAAATCACTGTCCCAAGAAAAGCGGTCAATACTGAAGTAAAGAGAGTTAGTTTTCTAATGATAGTCATGTTTTGTTTAGGTCTGCTTAGCATAAAGCTCACTCTTATGTTTAAGTATGTTATTTTAAAAATTTATGCACTTTTAAAAATGTATTTGCATAAAAAATAAAATTGTATAGACTATCTTTATTTCCACCAATAGCATGATAAAACTAACAGAAAAATAATATAGAAGTAGAAATATACAGTTATATGAAAATTTAGAGACAGACCGATCCTTAATATCACTGAGGAGAAAAGGAAACCTAGAGACTGACTTGCCCAAAAGAAAATTATCAAGTTTCTTGCAGAGCTCAAATGGTAATTCAGATCTCATTATTTCTTGTTAAATATGCTTTCCATCACCTTATGAACATCATTATCTTTTTCTTTCACACTAAGAACACTGTTTTCTTAATCAGTTATTGAGTTCATGCTTTGACGAGGAATGAGGAAAATAACTGGTCTAGTAAATGGAGATCATGCAAAGAGGACAACATATTTCAGAGTGTTCTTAAGTAGGCATCAGTGGATGGGGTATTTGGATATAATCAAAAGGAGGGGAAATGGGCTTCAGGCCTTCCTTGTTCTTAAAGATTGTTTACTGACTCATAAAGCAAATACTATTCATTCTGTGCATCAGAAGAAAGTGGAATAAAAATTCTAGAAGAGTCCACACTATATTCAGGTTAGTCTTTTAAGATGTACTGTATTTTTAAAGAATTTGTACATGGGGAAAGAAGGCAAACATAAAAAAAGGAAGTCTTTTCATAAGAGTAAATATAACTT